TTCCCGACATATGGCAACGGCCATTCTTGTGCCCGGTGCTGCTCTTAGCTGCGTGCAGCCAGCTGATGCAACCGTCGCGGAGATGTTTAATGCCACATTGAGACGGCAAGGTCCGCGAGCCCGCACTGCGTGATCCATCACATTGACGGTGGCAAGGTATCATAGCCTACAGAGCTGCCAGATACGCTGATGGGTCAGGGCAACGCATTGTTCGCTAACACCGGGAGAAAAGCCTCCGACGATGTAGCAGCAATGACTCCGTTGGGTACACGATGCTGCTATCACACGGAGTGCGCGCGCGTTGCTTTCCGCACAACCCGTCACAGAACATGAATTGAAGTCCACGATGGTGTCGATAAACACCAGCGGCGCTTGCAGTCGTGATGCCATGACGCCTCATCATCATGCATCATAATTGTTAGGGCCGATTTTTATATATCGATACATTAAGAAACTTCGAACCAATGCTGCTCATTCCCGTAGTGCCTAAGAAGAGAAGTAAGGACGTAAGAGAGGTTGGAGAGAAGCGTAAGGCGTAACCGTAAGCGTTGGAGCGTAAGGAGAGAAGCTGGTTCTTGATCAGCAATGACGAATTTTACATCGCACACCCTGATATCTGAAGCCGTCAATGTTCGTTGGTAGAGAAACTCAGATTTCATGGCGCTTTACATCCGTTACTAAATGATTACTCTCAGGGGCTTTCACAGCAAGTAAAATGTTAAATCTCGGGTAGTAGCCCTCCCCCTAATACCTGCAATGTGCATCGGGGTTTGTCGGTGGATCCCATTTTTTGTACATTTAGAAAAGGAACGTTATACGCTCACAAGCAGGCTCGTGCTTGGTTTTCATAGTATTTAGCAGCCAACTTAGGCTTATGTTGTCAATTTTTTCCGAACAGTTTTCCTCAAAATGACAGAGTTGACATTATCTAAAGAAGATGTGTGAGCTCCATTTATGTGCAGACGTAGCATGCCTCGTTTTCTAGGGACGCGTACAACAAGATGAGTTTCCGTAGGAAAACAGCATACTAAGAATCTTAAAATTTGCTGGCTGGAGGTCGAGGATTTTTTTTTTTGTAGGGCGGACCGTAAAACTTATTGTGTCCCTCAACGTTGTGTGCCCCTGCCCCCCTTTGACCTAACCCTGGATACGCCCCTATCTGGCATTACTGTTGCGGATAAGCATTTGCAGCAATAATTAAGTCGTGGATAAGTAATGGCTGAATATGTTTTGCGGTAGAAACAATGGTGGTAGTCATGCGGTTTCAAAGCAATGGCTATGCAAGTGTAAGCAGAGGAAGTAATGGCGAGCATAAGTTGATGCAGTTTAAGTTTCGTCGCATGACACTGGCGTCGTATACAAACATTGGCAGCAGAAGTAATGTCGAAGCACTCCCGCCGGCAGGAGTTTTTGCTGTAACAATAGTGTCGTGAACCCCCTCCGGTCAGCACGGACAATGGGCTGGAAGGTTCGCTATCACTGATCGAAAAGTAGCAGCACATGTGCAGCGACTGCTGCACCTACAACAGGGATGCAGTAGAACACATTCGGGAGTAATACCCATCACCACGTTTGATGCATGATGTTCTTAAGCCTCAGATGACGGTAATGTAATAATACAACTAGAATCCCCGACATTTCTGCATGATCGCATGACGGTGTGATGTCCAAAACCTGGTTTCATGAAAATAACATCCAGACTATTGCACCTCACTCACTGCGGTGATCAGCCGATCACAGGATCTGCCCAGGGCAAAAGCTGATGCTCTGGCATGCTCCAAATAAATATAACTAGTTATAATCCGGGTCTTACATAGCCTCCCATTCGTCCCATTGGAACCAGTTGCGCAGTAAGTTAAGGGCTCCTTCCATGACTCTCCAAGTTTGTACAGATTTCTAGGGTCCTCTCGGTCAAGTACTTGGTACAAGTACTGGTCAAGTACTGGTACAAGTACTGGTCATCTGTATAAGCTGGATGGACATAAACTGGATAAGACGTTTAAGCTGTGTGGGACCAGCGCTTGCCACCAACGTTGTCTTTCATCTTGATGTGGTAAGAATGTAAAATAATGTCACCCGTACAGAAGTGTGCCTTGTGCCAGGTAAGTACTTGGTAGTCATCTGTTTAAGCTGGATGAAGATAAGCTGGATATGACGTATAAGCTGTGTGGTACCAGCGCTTGCCACCAGCGTTAAATTTTATCATGATATGGTGAGAATGTAAAATAATGTCACCCATTACGGAAGTGTACCTTGAATTAAATAACGCAGCATGCACCCACGGTACATGGGCGCATGCTGCATGATCATGGTTACATGGGCACATTTACCATCGACACGCATGGTAAAGCAGTTTGATACACACTCGGCGCATGCCTTAGCTGCGCGTTGTTCAGCAAATACGCAGTAGGTAGCAGCTGGTACCCTAGAGCTGGTCCGCAGCAGCGCAGTTCTCCCGGCGGTTCCGTGCTAGCCGCTGAAACACGAGCGACCGATAACAATGGTCGGAGCGGATGGCCCGCCTGACCTTGACCGGCCGCACCGGGTTCAGGGGCTTCGGACGCGGCGGCCGCCCGTCTCGGCAGCGGCCGCGGCGGGCCTCGCCGCCAGGCGCTCTACACGGGCGGCTGAAATGACGTCGCTCCGGCCGTGACACTCGCTGCCGCAGCGACAGAGAACGCTCGCCAGGATGCCAACGGCGACAGAGAACACTCGCCGGGCTGCCAGCGGCGACAGAGAACGCTCGCCGGGCTGCCAACGGCGACAGAGAACGCTCGCCGGGCTGCCAGCGGCGACAGAGAACGCTCGCCGGGCTGCCAACGACGACAGAGAACGCTCGCCGGGCTGCCAACAGCGACAGAGAACGCTCGCCGGGCTGCCAGCGGCGACAGAGAACGCTCGCCGGGCTGCCAACGGCGACAGAGAGCGCTCGCCGGGCTGCCAGCGGCGACAGAGAACGCTCGCCGGGCTGCCAGCGGCGACAGAGAACGCTCGCCGGGCTGCCAACGACGACAGAGAACGCTCGCCGGGCTGCCAACAGCGACAGAGAACGCTCGCCAGGCTGCCAGCGGCGACAGAGAACGCTCGCCGGGCTGCCAACGGCGACAGAGAGCGCTCGCCGGGCTGCCAACGACGACAGAGAACGCTCGCCGGGCTGCCAACAGCGACAGAGAACGCTCGCCGGGCTGCCAACAGCGACAGAGAACGCTCGCCGGGCTGCCAGCGGCGACAGAGAACGCTCGCCGGGCTGCCAACGGCGACAGAGAACGCTCGCCGGGCTGCCAACGGCGACAGAGAACGCTCGCCGGGCTGCCAACGGCGACAGAGAACGCTCGCCGGGCTGCCAGCGGCGACAGAGAACGCTCGCCGGGCTGCCAACGGCGATAGAGAACGCTCGCCGGGCTGCCAACGGCGACAGAGAACGCTCGCCGGGCTGCCAACGGCGACAGAGAACGCTCGCCGGGCTGCCAGCGGCGACAGAGAACGTTCGCCGGGCTGCCAACGGCGACAGAGAACGTTCGCCGGGCTGCCAGCGGCGACAGGTCTCGTCCGAGGCACCTCAGGTGCCATTGTTGCCGTTTGGACTAAACCCCGCCGGTCTGGACTGAACTCTGCCGGGTCCGCCCACGTGCCGCCATTGTTGACAGTCGCCGCCATCTTGCCGGCGTTGCAGAGCCTCTGTGGGTCAGGGGTGGCCGTGTTGCTGCACTGACGAGCGTCAAAACCGTGACGGTGTTTCCGGCTGTGATGCGGTCGAACCCTCGCAGGCTTCCGACATGCCTGCGTCTGGCGTGCGGTAAACGGCGCCGGCTACCGGACAAGCGAGGGCGGCGCGTGCCTTTTTAATTTCAGCTGCCTTTCAGTTTTTGCAAATAACCGGAGAGGAGAAGGAAGACTACTTCGTGTAAAAGAAGCTCAACCAGAAGTGGAGAATGTTGAAATTCGAAATTAAAGCTGCAAAGCAGCCACAGCCAGCATATCTCACTACGACGTTGTTGTGATCGTCACATCGTATTCTCCGTCCATGCTCACGGCACTTACCTTGTTTTAGGTTGACATGTTTTGCAGCCATAGAATACGCCTCTTTAGAAACATGCTGCATCACGACATGTTAACACCTCCGAAGAATGCAACGCGCCACAATTGGTCAAAAGCTATCCGTGTTTCGTTACTCGTGCTAAGCATAACTTCGAACGCTCTCGTCAACCCACTGAGGCGCCGTCGCCATATGTTGCTATCGTCTGAGCAGCGCAGACGTCCGACCTGGCCCACGGGACTCACGCCGCCCCACTGGTGCCGAGCGTGCTTCCGTGGTGTGTGGCCCCTGGCCGGTGCCGGCAGTGGGCAGTCGGTATCGACTGCCTGCTGCCCTTCGGCACCGGTCTCCGGTCGGCAGGAGGTCGTCGGAGCATGTCCGATCTGGACACACCCTCCCCGTCCCCCGTCCCCCGCCCTGGCGCTGTCTGGCTGGACAACAGCCTCCGCGCCTGACAGACGGCCGTGTTCTGAGGTATGGGAGAGGAAAGCCCACTGTTAGGCCAAGATCATCGGCCGGGTCTGGGGAGGTAACAAACAACAGATGGCAAGAGCAAGTGCCTGGACGGTGGGGATGCCGCACTTAAATCTGAACCGGCGTGGTAATTGCTCAACCGCCTAGTTAAGCACCAAATCGCTGTTTTGACTGAAATTTGTCAGACTGAAAAGGAAATCTGCCGGGCTTTTAGTGGTTACACCTTTCCCTTTCCTCCGCTCTGCCTGCGTCCTTTCTCCTTGCTTTGTTCCAGCGACAAGATCCGACGTGCTCCCCAGCTCGATAGCGACGCTACCGGCTACGCCTCACGGCTTGCCCTACTCTACCCCCCCCCCCCCCCCCCTCTCCGTCAGTGGGCGTCCCCTGTGGTTCGACTCTATTCTCTTATCAGCACGTGTCCTCGAACGTTCGTCCGTGAGAACGGACGGGTGTGACGTGTGTGTCGGCTGACGGTCTCCCGTTTCCGCAGGCTTCAGTGCGCTACTGCCGCGAGACCGGACGTCGCCGCGCCGCCGCCGCCGCCACCGCCGCCGCCGCACGGCAGATAAGCCCTCCGGCTTCCTGTCACCACGTCTGCCAGTGCGCCGGTGACCGGGGCCGTGCGAGCACGGGTCAGCGTGGTCCGGGAGACGCCGACACCTGACCTGACCCGGCCCGGGACGGAGACGGACCGGCGCGCTGGTGACCCGTCGTTGCCGGGTCAGCGGCGCGGTGTTCAGGAGCACAGGCGCAGGCGTCGCGCCTGCCTGCCGTGTGGGGACTGATAGACTGGAGTTGTTCGGCTCGTTTGGCTCGGAGACTTTGGCGGGGCCAGCCGGAGCGGCAGTGAGTGGAGCAGTTCGGCCGCTGCCGTGGCAATCGCCGAGGCCGGCGGCATGTCTCACAACGCGCTGGTGACGCGGATAGCGCGCCTCTGGAAGAAGAGGACGGTCACCATCACCGAGGAGGACCCGACGTTCAAGACAGTCTACCTGGGCAACACGGTCACGCAGTGGGCCAAAGGTGGGTGGCGTGAACGCCTGGCAGAGGGCATGCAGAATGGGCGCGATGCTGCCGTCCTCAGGCGGTGGGAAGTTCCATGCTCTGTTCGGGTGGGAGCTGCAGCTTCCCAGTCTTCGGGCGATGTGTGTGATAGACCTGCCAGTCGCCGGACGTTAGACCTGCCAGTCGCCGGACGTTAGACCTGCCAGTCGACGGACGTAAGACCTGCCAGTCGCCGGACGTTAGACCTACCAGTCGTCGGACGTTAGATCTGCCAGTCGCTGGACGTGAGACCTGCCAGTCGCCGAACATAAGACCTGCCAGTCGTCGGACGTTAGACCTGCCAGTCGCTGGACGTTAGACCTGCCAGTCGCCGGACGTTAGACCTGCCAGTCGCCGGACGTTAGACCTGCCAGTCGCCGGACGTTAGACCTGCCAGTCGTCGGACGTTAGACCTGCCAGTCGCCGAACGTTATACCTGCCAGTCGTCGGACGTTAGACCTGCCAGTCGCCGGGCGTCGCATGGCCAGCGGCGTATGCGAAACACGCGGCAGTGTCGCCTGTTGCTAGACACGACAAGTGAACGGACGTTATCGCTCGCTAGACGCCGGTCCGTGGCCTCCCGATATCGGCACCGGAGGCGTTGAGTCTAGCAGATAATCTCAGGACACCGGGCCACGGAACCCCTTTCTCTCTAAGGCCAACGAATATTTGGAATCTCTCCTGACGATAATCGACCTTGAATGTGCCAGGTATGGTGATGATTGTCAGCATGAGAACTCCAAACTCAAAATGCCGAAGACCCAGGGGCCTGTCTTGCTTATTTTCCTCGAGCGCCTGCCGCCCACGGCATCACGTGCACACGGCCCTGTCACGCTGCAAACGGCACCGCCATCGTCGCAGCGGGCCCTGGCCACGGTGGCCCGCAGGCGGCCGGCGCCAGGGCGGGCCGCGGGCGCCTCATCCCGTCAGCCGGCCGGGGCCGAGAACCGGTCGGTCCGGTGGGGACATCGGCTTGCTGTGTTGACAAGGGGACGACACACCAGCTGCGAGCGGCAGGAGGCGGAGCCGTGCCCCCCAAACTCGGCACTACGTGGCCCGCTGGCGCTGGCGTCGTCTGTTCGCTTTGGCGTTGTCAACGGACGGGGACCGATTGGGAGAGTCACGTGGCGGTCGTGACGGGTGGCCGTCGTGATAGCGCGATGACACTGACCGGTAGAACTGATACTGGGAAAGCAACGCACTGCGAGAATACCGCAAACCCTATCTTACGATGAGCGTCGGCAAATAAAGGGTGCGGGGAGCCGTCTGACGGGTTTTATTTCGCGAGCTGATCGTCTCGTACTTTAGGAAGAGGCATGTCTCGTCGTCTGCAGATCTAGTATTGAATGTCGGTAAAACGTATCTGATGTAAGCACTACGGACCGTCACGTTTGCAGATGGCATGATGTTAGGCGGCATGCTCTCAGGTGTTTCCGCAAGAAACAATGGCCGATTGTTTGTGCGTAATTTGTGATATTGAGTTTAATTGCTGTGTATTAATATTTGGGCAGAGAGCGGCCACCTCAGAAATATTCAGTCTCTAGAACCCATCAATGACTAACAATTATTCCATCTCAAGCATCTGAACTACCCTGGGCGTGTATGCTTTCCAACTGCATCGCAACTGCAGCTGGGAAGGTGGGCAGCCGGACGAATCGGGCTCGGCACGCCTGTCGGTCCGCCCGTCCTGACACCATGTCCGGTACCGTTCCCCTGTCGCTTGCGTCATGGGAACTGCCATCGATTTAGCGATCGGTACCATCGAAATGAGTCCAGCCCAGCTCACACCATCCCTACAATGACGTCGCATCGGACAACAACTGTCCTCTTCCCCGCCCCGCCCGCTCTGCCGGACTGAAGATGCTTGCTGCCCGACGCGATGTTGCAGTGGGAATGGTATGAGCTGGTTGCCCGTGACCAGTGGGACTTGTTAAGATCAGTCGGTCGTTGATGACTGGTGGTCCCTGTTTAGATCAGCTGGCCGCTGGTGACCGGTGGTACCTGTTTAGGTCAGCTGGCCGCTGGTGACCGGTAGGGCCTGTTTAGATCAGCTGGCCGCTAATGACTGGTAGTGCCTGTTTAGATCAGCTGGTCGCTGGTGACTGGTGATACTGTTAAGATCAGCTGGCTGCTGGTGACCGGAAGGGCCCGTTTAGATCAGCTGGCCGCTGGTGACCGGTAGGGCCTGTTTAGATCAGCTGGTCGCTGGTGACTGGTGATGCTGTTAAGATCAGCTGGCCGCTGGTGACCGGTAGTGCCTGTTTAGATCAGCTGGCCGCTGGTGACCGGTGGGGCCTGTTTAGATCTGCTGGCCGCTGGTGACCGGTAGGGCCTGTTTAGATCAGCTGGCTGCTGGTGACCGGTGGTGCCTGTGTAGATCTGCTGGCCGCTGGTGACTGGTGGTGCCTGTGTAGATCTGCTGGCCGCTGGTGACTGGTGGTGCCTGTTTAGATCAGCTGGCTGCTGGTGGCCGGTGGTGCCGGTGTAGATCTGCTGGCCGCTGGTGACCGGTGGTGCCCGTTTAGATCAGCTGGCTGCTGGTGACCGGAAGGGCCCGTTTAGATCAGCTGGCCGCTGGTGACCGGTAGGGCCTGTTTAGATCAGCTGGTCGCTGGTGACTGGTGATGCTGTTAAGATCAGCTGGCCGCTGGTGACCGGTAGTGCCTGTTTAGATCAGCTGGCCGCTGGTGACCGGTGGGGCCTGTTTAGATCTGCTGGCCGCTGGTGACCGGTAGGGCCTGTTTAGATCAGCTGGCTGCTGGTGACCGGTGGTGCCTGTGCAGATCTGCTGGCCGTTGGTGACTGGTGGTGCCTGTGTAGATCTGCTGGCCGCTGGTGACTGGTGGTGCCTGTTTAGATCAGCTGGCTGCTGGTGGCCGGTGGTGCCGGTGTAGATCTGCTGGCCGCTGGTGACCGGTGGTGCCTGTTTAGATCAGCTGGCTGCTGGTGACCGGTGGGGCCTGTGTAGATGTGCTGGCCGCTGGTGACTGGTGGTGCCTGTTTAGATCAGGCGGCCGCTGGTGACTGGTGGTGCGTGTTTAGATCGGACGTGGGTACTTTTTCGGCCCTGGTGCGTACCGACACGACGTACGCATGGATCAGTAGGAGAAAGCCGATGGTGGCATGGCTCAAAAAACGAAGATTTTCTGCCGGTAGTCTGAGCGCTCGGAAGATTTCAATTAACGGTAAGTTTGGTCAGTAGTGCCACATATTGTAAATCGCATAGTCTTAGCTCCCTCGTCGTCGAAATCTAGGAAATGGTAAGGTAAATGCCATAGGCAGATTAATGACAAAGGAAGGCAATGATAGAAAGTTCCATCAGTTGGTAGTTGTGGGCATAAGTTAAATGCTATCGGTCTAGCGAGGTATTTTGTCCTAGAAATGAATTGTCCATACATGCCCTCACTTTTTTATTACACACTTAGTTCGAATCTAGCTGCGCAATTCCGGTCGTAGCCATACCGGTGCAGTGTGCCAATGAACCCACACACCAATCAGGCATGGGCCGTGTTTGTGTAGGTGGTGCGCTGGCGTCGCCGGGCGCCGGCCCTCCGCGCGCCCTCCGCTGCTGTTCTCCGAGCTGTCATTAGCGGGCGTTTGCCCTTCTCCGCGCAGGACATTATGCAATCATCAGCAAAATTCGAGGTGTCGGCTGCCGTTTATTGGCGAGATTTTTCAGGAACGTTACCCAAGCACCGTGCACAGCCATGATGCATTTCGGCAGCCATAAAACGGCCTTGTCCTACGGCTGGAACCGTGGCTTTGGTACCGTTGGACGACGAATACTCAGAAATTGCATTACAGACGGGCAAGGCAGGTGGTACATTACAGACGAGCCGGTGCAGACATTACAGACTGGGCGGTTGGAATCCGTTTTTGGGCGGTTGGGGCCCGGCCGACGCCGTTTCGTCATTTCTCCCGAGCGCGGCGGCACGGCCCACTCGTGCCTGACAGCGGCTGAGTCACGTCTCCCACGTTCTGCCAGAGAAGGGGGCCGGGGGCGGGGGACAGCTACGCTGGCCGGCGAGCGTGCCGTGTCAGCAGCAACGAGCCGCGGTCGGCCGGGCTGTTTGTTGCAATGTCTGGCGCCGTCCGGCTCTTTCCAAACCCGACCGTGAGCACGCGCGCCTGGGCAATAGCTGGCTGTCCGGCCAGGCTGCGCGCCTGGGCAATAGCTGGCTGTCCGGCCAGGCTTCGTGCTGTTGCGCGCTCTGGTGTTTGGTTGTTGCGGGGGGGGGGGTCTGGGACTGTGAGGAAAGGGGAAACCTTGGAACAAAGCTTGAGCGCAAATATAAAAACAATGGTATTACCTGCGAAAAATGCGTCATCCTCCATTATTTCCAGCGCTTAACACTTGGTTAAAGGGCGGACACCGCAGCAGGACGACTTCAACATTCCTTTGCCTGCAGGTAGAAACCAATGCGACGACAGTTGAGAGAGTCTGGTGTCCGGGACCAGCCGTCCCCACATTCCAGAGCTCACGTTCTGTGCCACATCCGGGAGGTGCCGGGGCTGGCAGGGACACTGGGGCCTGGCAGCCCAGCTCAGCGCTGAGGCATCACACTTGTGTTACCGGTTTTCGGACTGTGTTACCGGAAAAGACGCGGCCTGGCGACGTGCCCACTTCTGCGTCGCTCGGCTCCGGCACTGCCTGTCAGGTCAACTGCCGGTCACGTGTCAGCTGCCGGTCACGTTTCCCTCCCTCGCCCCACCCCTCTGGTGGGACTAGTGTTGACTCGACCGGCATGAGAGCTCAGACCGTAGATGTGCCTGACATGAGTGCTGCATAGGACGTGACGGTCCGTCACGGCCGTCACACGATTAGACGCAGCCGAGCCCCAGTCATCGGCTCCAGTGGTGTCCAGACATCGGGCGCCATCCATCTCGGTGGACGCCCACCGCTAGATGCGGATTCGCCATGCCCCTTGCGCAGCGTCCATGTCTCATGCGTAGAATTCAAGCGCTCTGCGGCTTACTGGCTAACCGTAACCGTTGCTGGCACAGATTTCTCATGAAACCAAAATAACTTCACAATGTTTGGGAACGCGGCCGCTGGAAATCGCCGCCGGCGAAACGACCCGGGTCACCTGGAACACATGTGTTCACGCCATAATCACCAATGTTGAAACTGCTGCGTCACTTGCTGAGGCTAACGACGACAAACGCGATGCGTGAATGCTTGGACTGCAAGTTGGGCCACAGATGGATCACCGTGCGATGCAGCCTCCGCGTCCTCCCTAGTTTGGCCAAAGATGGGTCACCATGCGATGCAGCCTCCGCGTCCTCCTGAGTTGGGCCACAGATGGATCACCATGCGATGCAGCCTCCGCGTCCGCCCTACTTGGGCCACAGATGGATCACCATGCTATGCAGCCCCCGCGTCCTCCCTAGTTGGGCCACAGATGGATCACCTTGCGATGTGGGCCACACATGGATCGTCGTGCGATGCAGCCTCCGCGTCCTCCCTAGTTGGTCTACAGATGGATCATCATGCGATGCAGCCTCCGCGTCCTCCTGAGTTGGGCCACAGATGGATCACCATGCGATGCAGCCTCCGCGTCCTCCCTAGTTGGGCCACAGATGGATCACCGTGCGATGCGGCCTCCGCGTCCTCCCTAGTTGGGCCACAGATGGATCACCATGCGATGCAACCTCCGCGTCCTCCCGAGCACGTTCCCGCTGACGGGGCCAGCATGCGGTAACCGGGATGACGACTCGCTGGGGGATATTTGTTTTACCCGACTAGTGAGTGACAGAAACTGGCGTTGCCGGATGAATACCTGTGCTCTCGCTTGCCGCTGTGTTCGTTGGCCACGGCGCCGGCATGTGAATCAGGTGTCTGGGGTGCACGGAGGCTTAATTCCCAGTCGCAAAAGTGCTGTGACTCTATATATGTGTATATATATATATATATATATGTGTATATATATGTATATATATATATATGTATATATATGTATATATATATATATATATATATATATATATATATATATATATATGACTGTTTCTGCACACTGACCTCTGACGGCGTGCCCTTGCGGCTCGAACACATTTGCGTCCCAAAAAACTTTTACGCCTTGTTTTGGTGCCTCCCAGGTTTGTGTAGAGCGTCCGGCGGCTGCAGCGCATCATCCCGTGCACCCTCTCACGCACCTGGGGTTGGAGGCGGCATGACCAATCTAAGTGCGGCCTCCACCCGGCGTGGTCTGATTGGCTCGCGGTGGATTAAACGACACTCTGGAGAGACGAGACAGACAGGACCTGCGGACCCTACTCAGACGAAAGTCATCGCCTTCCTCACGCCCCTCAGCACCCTCCAAACGTGCTCGGTACCCCTCGACACCCTTAGCGCCTCCGACCCCACCAGCACCCTCCGACCGCGCTGAGTACCCCTGACACCTCACCATCCACCGACAGTGCTCAGCGCCCCCCGACCGACCTTGGCTCCCTCTGATCGCGTTTGGCGCCCCCAAACCCCTCAGCATCCCCAGCCGCGCTCAAGGCCCTCTTACCGCGCTCAGCACCTTTCGACCGTAGTTTGTCGTCACCCCGACCCGGCCTCAGCGCTCTTCCCCCCGGTGGAGTATCAGTTTGACCGCCAGCGCGCCCCGGGGCAGCCTTACCGATGTGCGTATCTACATAAGTGAGCAGTATAAGTTGGTCCCATTCGTCTAAAGTGTGTGGATCAAAATATATGAAGCTGGCCTCCTGACCTTACGGCGCAAAGCACACATCGTGAAATTGACGGAGGGCGCAGTTGGTAGTTCCGTGCTGGCAGCAGCCTCACCGCCGAATAGCGATGCGGTCCGTGGCAGTCAGGCAGCAGACGGACGACGTCGTTACCTGGTGCGGCGGTTCGTCCATCCTCGCCTGGCGACGCGGCGGTGATGGCTGTGACGGGCCGTGTGACGCTCGTGGTGCGGCGGCTCGTAACGGTCCTCGCGCGCCAGATCTTCATCAAGTTCTACGGCCGAGACAGGCCGGCGACAAGACCGGTGGTGTTTGGGGGCCGCGGCCGAGACAGGCCGGCGACGGGACCACTGGTGTTTGGGGGCCGCGGCCGAGACAGGTCGGCGACGGGACCGCTGGTGTTTGGGGGCCGCGGTCGAGACAGGCCGGCGACGGGACCACTGGTGTTTGGGGGCCGCGGTCGAGACAGGCCGGCGACGGGACCGCTAGTGTTTGGGAGCCGCGGCCGAGACAGGTCGGCGACGGGACCGCTGGTGCTCTGGCGGCACAGTCTGCATAGCCAGGATACGCGGCTTGTGTGGGGCTGTGGAGTCATCCGCTTATCCCAAGCCCTTTCTGCAATGTGGTTTGGACATTCGCACAAGTGTGGCGTGTGCGACTTCTCATGTGGTAGATGACGTCATGGTGTCTGTCTGCACTTTGTATGGTGATTGTTTTGCAGTACCAATGCTACCATGCATGACATCACTGTTCACCCAGGCAGTCTGTCTGCGAAGTAGAACGCACCTCTACCGTGACGTTTTACGTCACGCTACTATTCTTTTCCTAAACGACATAAACGTGATTCTTTTCCTAAACGACATACCTGACGTCATTACGTGAAACATGTCAATGATGTGTGGAGTGTAGATAGTCGGGCCGCTCACTCTACTTTCATAGATACTTCGCTGGTAACTACCTGTGGTATCCAGTACTCTAAATACCATAGTTTCGGCCACCGCAAGCTCCCGTGAAATCTGCAGCGGTCACTGGAAATCGAGCCCAAGACATCGCTGTCCAGAGCCCACCGCTCTGCCCGTCCAGCCGCCCGACTGACTGCTCTCTATCCACCGTCAGGTGCTGGCAGCGTGGACAAGCCATTAGCCACACTCTGGAGGAACTACTGCCAGTCGACCAAACCAGACATCGAGATGCGCGTTACGGTGGCTGTGTCGGGTCTGAAGGCGACCACGCGCGAGCACGGCCTGACCGAGTACTGGAGCCACCGCGTCACGTACGCCTTTGCCCACCCCAGCTACCCGAAGGTGAGCGGCGGCGACCGACACGCGCTCAGCACAGCTGAGTGGTACGGAACGGTGTGGATGGAAGCCACCACGCCCAGCCCTCTGGAGACTGTCCCCGTTAGGTGTGATCTCAGCGGAGTAGGTGTGGATGGGAGCCACCACCCCCAGCCCTCTGGAGACTGTCCCCGTTAGGTGTGATCTCAGCGGAGTAGGTGTGGATGGGAGCCACCACGCCCAGCCCTCTGGAGACTGTCCCCGTTAGGTGTGATCTCAGCGGAGTAGGTGTGGATGGGAGCCACCACCCCCAGCCCTCTGGAGACTGTCCCCGTTAGGTGTGATCTCAGCGGAGTAGGTGTGGATGGGAGCCACCACGCCCAGCCCTCTGGAGACTGTCCCCGTTAGGTGTGATCTCAGCGGAGTAGGTGTGGATGGGAGCCACCACCCCCAGCCCTCTGGAGACTGTCCCCGTTAGGTGTGATCTCAGCGGAGTAGGTGTGGATGGGAGCCACCACGCCCAGCCCTCTGGAGACTGTCCCCGTTAGGTGTGATCTCAGCGGAGTAGGTGTGGATGGGAGCCACCACCCCCAGCCCTCTGGAGACTGTCCCCGTTAGGTGTGATCTCAGCGGAGTAGGTGTGGATGGGAGCCACCACGCCCAGCCCTCTGGAGACTGTTCCCGGTAGGTGTGATCTCAGCGGAGTAGGTGTGGATGGGAGCCACCACCCCCAGCCCTCTGGAGACTGTCCCCGTTAGGTGTGATCTCAGCGGAGTAGGTGTGGATGGGAGCCACCACCCCCAGCCCTCTGGAGACTGTCCCCGTTAGGTGTGATCTCAGCGGAGTAGGTGTGGATGGGAGCCACCACGCCCAGCCCTCTGGAGACTGTTCCCGGTAGGTGTGATCTCAGCGGAGTAGGTGTGGATGGGAGCCACCACGCCCAGCCCTCTGGAGACTGTCCCCGGTAGGTTTGATCTCAGCGGAGTAGGTGTGGATGGGAGCCACCACGCCCAGCCCTCTGGAGACTGTTCCCGGTAGGTGTGATCTCAGCGGAGTAGGTGTGGATGGGAGCCACCACGCCCAGCCCTCTGGAGACTGTCCCCGGTAGGTGTGATCTCAGCGGAAGGTAGGTTTGATCTCAGCGGAGTAGGTGTGGATGGGAGCCAGCGCGCCCAGCCCTCTGGAGACTGTCCCCGGTAAGTGTGATCTCAGCGGAGTAGGTGTCGAGCATTGTGTGTTTACGTACCCGGGACAGAGAACATGCCTACCTCCCATACTGCTAAAAAGTTCCGGCATGTATGAGCTGTGTGGTGGCGGTTGCGCGACGACGCCATCGTTTACGTGCTCTGCACTGGGGTGGCGTTATGACAGGAGCCGTACCGGAGGTGTATGACGGGGTCCGGCATTCGTCTCACGCTTCAGCTGCAGCGTTGTGACAGGAGCTGTACCGGAGGTGCATGACGGGGTCCGGCATTCATCTCACGCTTCAGCTGCAGCGTTGTGACAGGAGCCGTATCGGAGATGCGTGACGGGGTCCGGCATTCGTCTCACGCTTCAGCTGCAGCGTTGTGACAGGAGCTGTACCGGAGGTGCATGACGGGGTCCGGCATTCGTCTCACGCTTCAGCTGCAGCGTTGTGACAGGAGCCGTATCGGAGATGCGTGACTGGGTCCGGCATTCGTCTCACGCTTCAGCTGCAGCGTTGTGACGGGAGCCGTATCGGAGATGCGTGAGAGGGTCCGGCATTCGTCTCACGCTTCAGCTGCAGCGTTGTGACAGGAGCTGTACCGGAGGTGCATGACGGGGTCCGGCATTCGTCTCACGCTTCAGCTGCAGCGTTGTGACAGGAGCTGTACCGGAGGTGCGTGAAGGGGTCCGGCATTCGTCTCACGCTTCGGCTGCAGCGTTGTGACAGGAGCTGTACCGGAGGCGCGTGACGGGGTCCGGCATTCGTCTCACGCTTCAGCTGCAGCGTTGTGACAGGAGCCGTACCGGAGGTGCGTGACTGGGTCCGGCATTCGTCTCACGTTTCAGCTGCAGCGTTGTGACAGGAGCTGTACCAGAGGTGCGTGACGGAGTCCGGCGTTCGTCTCACGCTTCAGCTGCAGGTCGCTGTCCTGCCCGATAGATGAGTTCAGTGGACGCCGTCGTAAGAAAGGCCATCGTGATGAGCACGGACTTGACTGTACGTGATTCAGTGGTCTCACGGACTTTGCTGCACGTGATTCAGCGGTCTTTCCAGCTGACAAATAAAACGTACGGTGGTGTGGAGGCGGGGCCGATCCATAGCTGTGCTGGGGTATCCTGTTTTGCACGGCGTGTCCGTTGGACGTGTTGCGGCTATAAGCGTTCTGTCTGGTCCGAGCTTGGGCAGCAGGGATGCCGTGCTGGCTTGCAGTCACACCTGTTCGGGTGGGAACAAGAGCCACCGTGAACTTAATCGAGACACTTTCAACGTCGGCTCATACGAGATCGCAAAGACCTTGTGCCAAAGAAAGAAAAGCAAATCATTGGAAGTCTAGCTCAGACCTCAAAACAAGTGGTAGCAGGATATGTGAAACGTCCTTTTGGACTCCGTGCGTCTTGGCCTCCAAAATTGTTACTATGCAGTGGTTATCTGCCTTACGTCAAGCAGCGTCCATTAACAGTACTCCGTTATCTGAGAAGCACGGCAGCTGATGTGTTCCTCACCCATATCAATGTGGCGCTGCGGCAAATAAAAGGCTTCAGACAGTGGGCGCATATTATGTAACTTAACACGCGCCCGGGAGGCCGGTTGAATGCTCTTCGCTCGGGTGGAGGTCAATTTAATCTCCACAAGATCTCAGAAATCAAAAGAGCTAGACAAACCAAAGTCACAGGGTGTATTGGCCTGTATGTGAGCTCATTTGTGTAAAAATTTGGGGTTCCTAGGCTATGACCTTCGAGTCAAATAGGGTCTAACCAGGTCAAAATTAAGATTGGTGTACAGAGTGCGCCATAACCTAGATACCCGTTCTAAGCAAAAGATCATTGGTGCTCATTTACCGTCCGTGATCTTTTTTTACTTTATGGAGTCCATGGTGATCAAAATCAGACGAGAATGCTCTGAGCTTTGCATCTGAATAAGTTTCAAAGATTACGCAAGGTAATATGTTTTTTAAAAACAAGATTTTGAGCTGGGTCATTTTAGGCCATTGACCAATACTGACCTCATGAAGTGTATGGAAGATGCATAATGCGGTTCTTCTTATCAGTAACTTGGAAATGGGCACCAACATCTACCCCGTACGACAAGCTCCTGAGAAGTAAAATAAGCTGGTTTTGACCTAGGTCTCACCTTCATACTGGATCATAGGTCAACAAATTTGTTCATTCAGTTGTTGTGCTGCCTGAAAGACTATCTCAGAGATGTGAAGCTTCATGTAATACACCGTTGTCGCATCAGATTAAACGTTTCCCTAGAAATCGTCCTAGCTGAATCCATGGTCTTTATTGGGCCTTTTTTGGTCAGCGACCTTACATGGTGCATCTCAATATTTGTTATTAAACGATCCGCTATTAAATTGTCTACAGCCATGCAAAATTTGGCCCGGCTATGCCATGCCGTTCAGAAACTATTTCGAAAAAACCTTCGGGGGAGGGTCAAGTTGACCCCCAGCACAGCGCGTGATAATCTTTGTTCTGACTTCACCGTTTTGATCTTCGTAGTTCCTCCAGCTCAAAGACGGAATTACATACACCTTGAACTCGTCGCCAATGCAGGAAATGATTCCGTACCCGATTTTTAATTCCCGCGGGCGTGTTGTCCCGGTGTTCCTGTTGATCGGGGGAGGGGGGGGGGGGGGGGGCGGCGCTCGCACTGTTCCGCTGCGCCGCTGTCAGTCCCGAGTCCGCTCCTGTCGACCTTCGTGCGCTAGTTGGCAGGCGCGGTGCCGTCCCAGGCGTGTCCTGTGGGGCCCACGCGTGGCCCTACGCCGGCCTCACAGATGGCGACCAGGTGGCCATGGTGGCCCGCAGCCCTGGGCCGGCTTGCTGGGCTCTGTTGCTAGCTGTCACCTGTGCAAATGCTTGTCGCTGTCACATTCCTGGTCATGGGTAAGTTACTAATCCAGTGAGGTGTTAACCTCAAACGCAAACATTCAGTTTGCCTTTAGAAGGCATGGGCTAGGCACGCTAGTGGTGGATGACATGCTAGACTTGCTGTTCATTGTCGCAGCTGAAAACAAAATTTCTTCCCATGAACAGCATGACTTTGCCAGGCTAATGTGGCACATGCACCAGGTGGAGGCATGTCCACTCCCCACCAGTCAATAGCCGGGCACATGAAACCAGACTAGGCACGTGGCTGGTTAGCTGCGAGCGCCGGCGGTCGCAGCTGGCAGGTCATATGGTCAGGAGCGAACGCCAGTGACCGCACGTGCTGGGTCACCTTGGGGTTGCACGGGCTTAAAGACAAAAACTAGGTAGGACGGAGGACTGTACCCCAACTTTTTGGACATTTAACATTGGCGCCATTGCCGCTGACTGAAAAGATATAGCCAAAAACAGCCATCGGCTTCTGAACGTGGGAGGACTTCCAATGACCCTGTCTTGTCCTTTTTGAAACATGCTGGCAGCAGAAAATGTCACTTGCAACGGCGTGTGATCGCTCCCTCCCATGTCCGTGGCAGCGGAATACCACACATCCGAAACAGATCGAGCATTGGAGGTCACATACCCTCATACTTCGGCACAGGCACACTCACGACTTGTCTATAACATTATTCATAACCTACTTTCAGGGCAATAAGGCGACGTCGCAGCTGGGATTGCTCACGCGCTCCTTGCGTGATTGATCCCGTACTTGTACGGTTTGGCAGTGGACGTATTTCGGAAACTGGTCTGTGAATGACGTCCTCGATTAGTGTTTTCCTTGTACCTTGTGCTTTACGCGAACAATGTAGGTTCCAACTGTCCACTGAAGCCCATGATGATAATATGGTAATATGGTATATAACATGGCATATGGTGGCAACATCTTGCAAGATCTAATTCAGAATCATTTG